TATTAGGCCGACGCGGAAAGTATAAGTAGTGCGTGAAAGTAGGCCTGCAACCGCTGATATAGCTTGAAGGCGTTCGAGTCCACTGTGAATGGTATTATTTCTAGGTAACGGATTTTTTGGGTGCCATCTCCCGATTGTTACCTATTCCTTATCTCTGCCTTTACTCCTTCCCTCGGACCCCGCTTCCGCCGTACCAACTACCTGTGCCATCCGCCTCCACTACCTCAGTCTCCTTCGTGCTCTATTCCCTCCCCATTCCCCCACCCCCCGGCTCTCTTTACCTGACGCCTCCTGTGCTCGTCGTTTTCCGTCACCTGCAGTTAGGAGCTTCAAACTCTTCGACTGTCTTGCATTCACAGTCCTTGTCTTCCCATCTATTTGCTCCCAGTCTCCACCTCATTTGTACTCTGTCTTTGCTCGTCTTCCTTGATCCCCTACGGAGTCCTTCTTAAATCCCCTCATCCTCGCCTTCCTCAAGTGCTATTCCAGCCGCCGACCCCATGATCCTCCGACTTCCTCCTCTCATCCACTTTTCGCCCGCGTCCTCGATTATTTTCTCCTTGTCATCATAGACTCCTGTCCTTACGCGCAGCGGTCGTCATGTCCGTTTTCCCGACCGTTATCAACTTGTACAATATGCATAACACTCCCACCTTTTCCTTCTATTAACAATTATTTTTTTAATCTCCGTTCTCCTAGGAGGGGAAGTATTGTAGTGGCATTTAAGTCCGTTTTGTTTTAATCAGTTACAATACTCTTTTTAAAGAACTTGACACAGCTTTGAATGAGAGATAGAACAAGCACGTGCATATTTACCTGTTGACGACTTTGTTCTTATTAACTAGTTTGTAACCATTGGGATACTGCTATCTTCGTTTCCTGTATAGCCTACTCACTTTGTCCAACTAGTGGGTTTATCACTTACAAATGTACCAGGGCGGCAAGTCTTACATTTTACGCTGTTACCCAACCTTCCCCATCGTTACACACGTACATCTGAATATACGGCATACATTCGCATTATGACAGTTTATTACAAAACACAATCACTTTTAAATAGGATAAGTCTGCGCAACATGGGGCAGGAACAGTTCCCAGGCATCTGTCAAAGACATGGCATTGAGGCCAAACCAAGGACGATACTGTACTTCGTCTCTGTGGGCCCACACAGCTCGACCACATACTGGGCCTCCCTCGTGGAGTTTCCTTTTCAGTCTACTCCAGTATGCCTCAATGACATTGGTGTGCCGTCCGGTGGTAGGGTCCTTGAAGTTCTTTGAGTGGTTAACAGAGAAATGCAGATAACCTTCTGAGGGAAGACGATTATACGCCTTCCACTCGTCCGTTACCACTATACTGCCTTTGGCGACCCATTTTGCAATAACGGAACGGAGAGTGGGCCAACTTTGATTATTCACCTGTTCAAATAAGGCTTTCTGTCGGCTAGTATCGTACATCCCAACCAGCCACCACCCATAAAACCCCTTTTACCACTTGCCCCGTAAGACAATTTGCTTCGGTTAGGCGTATTTTCTTGGGTGTCATCTCCCGATTGTTACCGGTTTATCACTTACAAATGTACCAGGGCGGCAAATCTAACATTTTTCATTGGTGAGAATTCTGTTCAGCCTGTCAAGCATGTCCTAATATGCTCAGGCATGTTCTGGAACCTCCAAAAGTGGGAGCATGCAATGAGGGCAGGAGAGTCTTACGATGAGTAAACACAACAACTCACCTAGAGTCTGATGCAGACGCAAAAGTGAGAACATGCCACACCGAGATCCGCATACTTCTCTCTGGCAAATTGTGCTTAGAGCACAGACCAAAGAAGACAGAGGAAGGGAGCGCGGGAGGCTGAGAGAGAGAGAGAGAGAGAGAGAGTTAATTTAACTTGACAGTGTTTTGTCCCTTAGTTCAGTAGGATAAAAAACTGCCATAGCGAACTCAACGGTCTACTTCATGATAGTTTAGCAAAGTGGAAAGAGTATATGGGTTGAACTTGAAAAAAAAGAGAAGTAATTTGACAATTTTTTCTCCAGGTACTTGACAATCACAAAACGACGCCAGCCACCTTCTCCAAATTGGGCGAATAAAGGTACCCGACGAGCCCTATCCAAACCCTAGATGCCAAGTTAACAAAGAGACAATTTAGAATGTGGTCAGCTTAGTCCAGTGGGTGGTTTCGATTGCATTTCAGTGCACACATCACTGTTGGTCGTTCTGGCTGACCTTCGCGCCAGTTAACATCTCCGTCGAAGTCGAATTTGCTCCAGCCTCGGGTGTCTGTATGATTACATCTCCCTCGGCTTCCTTAGTTAGTCGTTTAGACGGTAGTTTCTTAGCTCGCAAACGGACAAACAGGTTTGCTTACGGCGGTTAACTGCCAGAGACACGGGGAGGAATTAAGTAGCAGATGTTTAGGTTTCACTCCGTTCCTCGTCGGCAGACCATAGCCAACGATGCGCCTCTCCCCAGTTGAAGGCTAGTTTAAGAAATTGGAAAGAGTGGCAGCGAGAATCCACTTGGGGCGGAATCGAACTCACCGTCTTGAGGACAACGCAAGCCATTATATGCCTAACCTCATCAAAGGTCGGATGGGAAGGACTTAACGACAACAATGCAGAAATTGAGGCATCCAGTCTGAACGTGGAGAGCTGGATATTACGTACAGAGATGAATGTGGCTCCGGTAGCTTCCATAAAGACCGTTACACTACGCTATGTCGAAACGAGTTTGGAACCAATCAGGATGGTCATAAGAATCCACGAGGTGGGCCAACTCGTGAAATGTCAACCGAAATTCCGAAATGCGTTTTCGTTCCGAAAATATTAATTAAGTAGGGTTGTAAAACTAGTCAGCGTGCAACATAATTCTATAATATTTCAGTTACCCCAGGATGTCGGCTTTCGAATGAACTTCCTTCTCGCTGCATGCAGAAACCATGCTCTGCAAAAAATGACTTCTCAAATGGCATGCATTTTTCTCATTGATGCTCGATGCCCTTAAAAGTCCAATAATAGTTCACGGAAAACATGCACAAATATGTTTATTCTTTCGCTCTTTCGGTAGAAAATTATGTCTTCTTCCAATTTTATACTCGAAGGAGGATAATGAATCGGCTTTAAAAATTTTCTAATTGTGCTAACTTTTATGAACCCCATATGGTCTCCTTTCAATACCGTAGAGAAATGTATAGTTTGCCGTACGCGGAAAATATACGGTTTGTAGTTTGGAAACCTTGAACACAAGTGTGACGGCAGAGCGGGTCCAAAATCATTCGGGAACTGCAAAATTTTTTGAAAACCAAATTATACCCCTCCTTCGAATACAAAATTGAAAGAAGGCGTAACTTCTATCGAAAGAGCGAAAGAATGAACATTTGTGTGCATGTTTTCCATGAAATATAATTGGACTTTTAGAGGCATCGAAAATCTATGAGAAAATGCATGCTACTCAAGTAGTCATTTTTTACAGAGTATACTTTTTGTATGCAGCCGGAAGGAAGTTCGTTCAAAAGCCAGCATCCTGAGGTAACTGAATTATTATAGAATTATACTGCAGGCTGATAAGTTTTACAATCCTACAATCTTTTCGAAACGAAAACGCATTTCGGAATTTCGGTTAACATTTCATGAGTTAGCCCACCTACTGTAGCTTGTCTTTCCACACCACAAGGCGCCTACTCGAACTATTAATGCACCTCGACTTGTGAAATTTCCACAGGCTGCCAAATGATCCACATTTAGTGTTCTCATTTGTGTGAGAACGAATATGACAATGAGCATGATCCCCGCGCGACCCTCATCAGTTCCCTAAGCCAAAATAGTTGGAGGGTTCTGAGAATCCGGAGTTATTTGACCAGTGCAGTTTCGCGTAATGTTTAACCCTATAACGGGAATTAAAAGTTTACAACCATTAACCCTTCCCCCGCCCTCCCGTCTGCAGACTTGATACAGTCGGTGACCCGGTGAGCAGCCGCCATGCGCCGCTAGCCAATCAGGAATTGGCTGTCATCCATGCCCGATTTTAGGGACCAATGCCGGTACAGCTAGTTACTCGCCTCGGTGATCTGCTTTGGAGAGGGGATTCCAGAACGTAACTGAAAGTCTAGATTGGATTCGTGGCAGCGAACCGGAAATTCTCGCGACAAATTATCGTTGGGTGCAGGTTCAAGGTTGGCCTGGAGCGTACAAATTGAATTTTAAAAGAAAAACATCTTGCCGAACTACTAGGTATGACCAAAAGTGCCCAATAAATGGCAGTCCGGTAGGCTTTACTTAAGAGTGAGCAAAAAGTGCTTTTGCAAAAGTGTCTTACTTAATTTACCCTTATATTTATATATTTATTGAATAGTCCTAACCTTAGGTACTAGACCACTTGGACACATTGCACTTGTTTTACCCTAAAACTCGGAAGAAAATTAAGACCTCAGATAAGACGCTTTTCAAAACATTGTTGCCACGACTTGCAGAAAACCGTCAGAAAAGCATGACGGCATAGAACTACGCGTGATTATATTTAATAGCGCCCAAGGCATAAAAAATTGCAACTTTAAGAGCCTTACCGAACTGAAGCGCTGAATAATAATCCAACTCACGGTCGAGTCAAAAGTGCCGGAAGCCAATTTGTCAAGATGGCTAGAGCCACAGCGAGGGAAGTCTGGTGGAAAATTGTTGGCGGTAGGATGAGGGTTGCTGCAATCGCTGTGCAGATTCGCGCGAGAGCGACTGGTAGGCACTTGTAGTTGTCAAACGGTTGGCGCCTTCATGCGGAACAGGCCCTAGAGGCAAGGGGGTAAATGTTGTTTTTTTTCTCTCCAACTTTCTCTCATTGCTGCAAGGCACAGGAAGGGCATATCGAGATCGCAAAGTAGTTTGACCGTACGCTCTCCTTACTTTGAGGCGGGATAATTCGGCTCTTTGTGTTCGTATTAATGCGGCTGTTTGGGGACATGCGCTTGAAGGCCAGCAAAAGCTGACTCTCTCTCACTCTAAACAGCTTTAGATTTGAGGACGCACTCCATGAACTGAGGGTAAAAATCGGGAGAGGGCACCCAAATATCCGTTGCCTAGAAATAATACCTGCTCCTGAAGTTCTGTCTCAAGACGTACTTTACATTCGACGGAACAATCTACGAGCAGGTGAAGGGAACGCCAATGGGTTCGCCGATTTCGGGACTCATAGCCGAGGCGGTCCTTCAACGGCTGGAGTCGCTGGTTTTCCGACACCACAGACCGAAATTCTGGACTCGGTATGTGGATGACAACTTCGTCGTCATCGAACGGGATCAGGTGCTGACTTTCAAAGAACAACTCAACGCCGTCTTCCCGGACATTCAATTTACGATGGAGGATGAGGAAAACAATCAGCTGGCCTTCCTGGATGTCCTCGTCTGCCGCAAAGATTGTGGTGGCCTAAAAACCAAAGTGTTCAGGAAAGCGACAAATACGACGCAAATACTGAACTTCAATAGCAACCACCCGATCAGTCACAAACGCAGTTGCGTAAGGGCGCTATACCGGCGTGTTGAGACGCACTGCAGTGAAATGGAAGACAAGGTTGCTGAATTACAATATCTTCGACGGGTAATGAGAGCCAATGGCTACCCACGCAACTTTGTCAACCAGTGCATACGAAAAGGACACCAGAGGCCAAATCCAACTAGCCCCAAATTTTGGCGGGCTCTTCCGTACGTTAAGAACGTCTCGGAAGCCGTCAGTCGTCTTCTCACTCCACTTGGAGTTGGGGTTGCACACAGGCCGGAAGCAACCATTAGGCGCCAAGTAATGAGGCCAAAAGACCCGCTGCCACGGCAGGAAACGTCTGGAGTCGTTTACCGGATCTGGTGTAGTTGCGGACAAAGCAATTATGTCGGAGAAACTGGGAGATTACTCCGTACGCGACTTGCCGAGCACGCAGCAGCAGTGAGGCGGGGAGACGCTAACTCTCAGGTGGCGGCACACTCGACGGGACCCGGCCATATTTTCAAATTTCAAGAGGCCGAAATCCTCGCAAGGGGTGACAACCGCGTGAGCCGCGAGCTGCTCGAGTCATGGTTCTCAGGCCCGCAATCCATCAACAAACACAATGACCTCTCGGTGCCCCATTCCGTATTGCGATTTTCCCTGGGCCGGAGAATCAGTCACGTGGGAAGGGCGCAGGTGAGCAATCATCACGGTGACAGTGAGCCAGTTTGCCGAGCAATCGTTACACCAGCATCGAGCACGGATGACGAAATCGCGGCAATCAACAACTCGGACTCGGACCGCCAAGCCACCGCCGCATCAATTACGACCCCAGCGGCGATTGTGAGAACTGTTAATTGCAGTGCGCATACGGTCCCACGGCAGCCACGTGTTATAAAAACTGCACTCCTGGTGCCACCTTCACCTCTATCTGCGAATGTCTCTGATGATGGATTCGAGTGAGAATCCGAATAGTCAGGCAAATAAACTTCTTCTCCCAGTGATCGCATCTTCATCTTCTGAATACCTGCTATACCTATTTGAGTAGGTTATGGCCCTACATATTTGTTGTTTCATCCGACCTCAGTTTCATCTGACCTGCTGTCCAGATGTTGCTTCACTTAGATTGTCAAAGTCTCCAACAGTTGAGATGTGACCGCTGCAGACCGAGCCATGGTTAATCAACCTTGACCTACGCTTACACGGCTGAAGAGTGACAGCAGTAGTGGGTTTGCGGCTAAATCTACCCTTGCATACCTTAGGAGAGTTGAGAAACGATAGCTGTAGACCGACCATTGGTTTGCCATCCTTCACATATGCTTGCTTAGGTCACGAACGACGACATTAGTCCGCTTGCGGCTTACTTTAAAACAGCATAGCTTAGGAAAGTTGGGTAATGATCGCCTTAAATCAATCCTATATTTACCAACCTTGACATTATCTTCCACAGCTGATGAGGGAGCGCAGTAGTCGATATGTGGCTTATTCTATGGTAGCATATGTTCAAACACTTGCGATAAAATCTCTGTGGACCGGCCCTTTGGCTTAGCCACCATGGCCATTTCTTCCTTAGGTGAGGAATGACCGCAGTTGTAGGTATGCGGCTCAATCTATGGCACCATACCCTTTGAACAGTTGCAAAACAATCGCCGTAGACCCACCCTACGTTAAACAACCTGGTTATAAGCTTCCACTGCTGACAAGCCACCGCAGTAGTCCCTATGCGGATTATTCTATAGTAGCTTACCTACGGACAATTGCAATACGATCGCCGTTGACCGAGCACTTGGATTATCAATTTTTACCATTCCTTCCAGAGGTCAGGAGCTACCGCAGTCGCCAGTGTGCGGCTCAGTCAATGGCTGCATAGCTTAGAACAGTTGCGATAAGATCGCTGCTTTGTCCGGCAGTATTCTTTTGGGTGCCCTCTCCTGATTGTTACCGAACTGAGCTGCACCCTTGGAGAAAAAATTTTTTGCTTGAAATGAATAAGCCTACCTGGCCCAGTAAGTCCCGATCTAAAGTTTGTGTTTTACCCGCAGCTACAGGAAGGAATGTCGAAAAAGACAAGGGAGACCGTGGTCACCTCTGGCTTCTTGGCCGTTGTCAGTCCGTCCTACCCAATCTGATATTCGTAATCGGACCTTTCAATAATTGATCCTCAAGTCCAGCCCCTTAACACCGGCAAGTTAATAGGAGCGAAGAGACAAGTCCCAGGAAGCAGTCTTGAAGAAGGAGACACGATCGCTGGGGCAAGAGCTTTATTAGCCCGAAGTTTCGGATTCCTGCTCGAACCCATCATCAGAGGCAGCAGCGGATACAGATAGCTCATGCATACGGGGCTGCAGTATTTATAGGATGCGGTCGCTATGCTACCGCATACCTATGAATATACATGCCTCACCCCCCCCCCTTTCATCAGTGATCGTTGTACGTGGTGTGATGACTGTTGATGGCCGACATTCGCGTCGTTAATTGCTGCAATTTCATCACGTGCGTTGGATGTTGGTGTGATGATTGCTCGACCATCTGAAGCACCAACCCTGGTGTTGGGAAAAGTGTTCGCCTGTGCGCTCTCCGCGTGGCCAATTACTCCGCCTAGGCGAAGTCTCAGCACCGAGTATGGAAGGGGAAGATCATTGCACTTGTTAAGGGACTGGGGGCCAGCAGCTCCCTGCTCATGCGGTTGTCACCTCTTGTAAGAATTTCGACCTTCTCGAATTTGAATGTTTGGCCGGATCCCGTCGAATGAGTCGCAACTTGAGAGCTGGCGTCGTTTCTCCGCACCGCCGCAGCGTGTTCGATCATCCGAGTTAGGAGCAGCCTTCCGATTTCTCTGAGGCAGATGATCTGTCCAAAACTGCATCACATCCCATAAACGACTCCAGATGTTTCTAGCCGTGGCAGTGGGTTTTTGGTTTCATTACCTGACGCCTGATGGTTGCTTCCGGTCTGCGTGCTGCGGTTGGACATGCACACGGACCGGAGGCAACCATCAGGCGTCCGGTAATGAAATCTAAAGACCCGCTGTTACGGCAGGAAACGTCTGGAGTCGTTTATCGGATCAGGTGTAGTTGAGGACAAAGCAACTACGTCGGAGAAACCGGAAGACAGCTCCGAACGAGAATGGCCGAACACGCTGCAGCGGTGCAGAGAAATGACGCCAGCCTTCAACTTGCGGCTCACTCGACTAGATCCGGCCACACATTCAAATTAGACGAGGCCGAAATTCTCGCAAAAGGTGACAACCGCATGAGTCGGCAGCTGCTTGAGTCATGGTTTACTGGCATCCAGTCCATTAACAAGTGCAATGAACTTCCCATTCCATACTCGGTGCTGAGACTTCGCCTAGTCGGAGTAATTAGCCACGCGGGAAGCGCACAGATGAACACTTTTCCCAACACCAGGGTCGGTGGGTCAGATGGTCGAGCAATCATCACACCAACATCCAATGCACATGAAGAAATTGCAGCAAATAACGACGTTAATGTCGGTCATCAAACAATTAGCACACCAAGTGCGAAGATCCCGGATGAAGGAGGGAGACGTGAATGTTCATAGGTAGGCAGTAACATGGCGACTGCATTCTATAAATACTGCAGCCACTTGTTCATGAACCACCCGTATCTGATTTTGTCTCTAATGATGGGTTCGAGCAGAAATCCGAAACGTCAGGCTCATGAAACCGAAAGATCCACTGCCACGGCAAGAAACGTCTGGAGTCGTTTTTGTTTTTGGTGACGAATATGCGCTAAGTGTCTTGGGAAAAGAGTCGCCAGAGTCAACCTCACTCTGTCAGGCACTAGTCCACTGTCCGAGAGGGTTAGCCATCTGGTGCAGCGATGAAATGCAAGCGGTTGACAAAGTCAGACAACTTTGAAGAAGAAGAAGAAGAAGAAGAAGAAGAAGAAGAAGACACGATCGCTGGTCAAGAGCTTTATCAGCCTGACGTTTCGGATTCCTGTTCGAACCCATCATCAGAGACAATAGCAGATACGGGTGGTTCATGCGCAGGCGTTGCAGTATTCATATGATGCTGTCACCATGCTACTGTATACCTATGAAAATTCACGGCTCCTCCCTCATCGGGGGTCGTTTCACGTGGCGTGGTGGCCGAAATTCGCTTCATTAATCGCTGCAATCTCATCACGGGTGTTGGATGTTGGATGGCTTGACTATCTGGCCCACCGACCCTGGCGTTGGGAACAGTGTTCACCTGTGCGCTCCCCGCGTGACTACTCCTCCACTGTCCCCCTTCACTGATTGCTTTTTCACCTTTCGTTGGTATACCGCGATTTATATTACTGGATTGACCTGATGATGAATAATAAGAAAGACTGTCGTCGATACAATCGCAAATGCAAGCCGCATAAAACAGTTAAGAATAAGCAGACGCGATCACCGATGCATGAACTGTTATTGCCTGAAATTTCGGATTTCGTGAGAATTCAGGTCGAACAACTCGCCGGAGGTGATAATGATGTGGGCCGCTATTCACTGTCCCCTCAGTGGATTAAAAGGTGTAATTAACTCCGTCTTCAAAGTCAGTGCCGAGACGTAGCCCGGACATAGTAATTAGCCACAGGGGGAGCGCTCGGGTAAGACAAATGATCGGGTAATTATCACGCCAACATCGAACACGTGTGATGAAAATGCGGCGTTTATTGACTGGAATGCCGGCCATTAGTCCATTATCGCGCAAAGGGCAGCAATTCGCGATGAAAGGGTGAGCTGTTGCTTTTTAATTTCATCAGAAATTATTTACGAAGTTGGAGTAGATCGGTTTATTCAAGGCCTATAGGCACAGACCGAGAATTTTATACATGAATATTTGGGCCAAAGTCCATCAGCCACAGCGGCCAACTGCGTACTATTCATTAACTGCCGACAGACAGCTAGTAGTATACTTTAGGGTAAGGTGATACCATACTAGTACCTGTGCTGTTATTATGCTATCACCTTATGGGCTTTTGGCTAGTACCTGTGCTGTTAGTATTGTATCCTTTTACCCTGAAGGGGGAGCTGTTAATTTTGTAAGGTATGTGGTAGCATAGCAACTGCGCCCTATAAATACTGCAAATCCTTGTGCATGAATTACCCGTACCAGATGCTTCCTCTGGCATTGGGTTCAAGTACGACTCTAAGACGACAGTCGAATAAAGTTCTCATTCCAGCTATCGTTGCTACTTCTTCTCAGAATAAATATTTTTTTGGTGACTCTGACTTCTTTCGTGTGATTTTCAATGTACCCATGCCCAGTGCGAAGAAACACTTCTTTCAGCGTCTCCACAGAAAGCATATTGTCGAGTGCGGTTAGCTAAACAACGGATCAAACTGACCTTCCTGCTTAATGGGACATAGCTGTGGATATTACTATACTGCCCTGTCCAAGTTGACGAAAATAAAAACGTCTGCTGATGCTGAGACGTGGTCTTCTGCGTTATCAGACGTTGAGAAACAGAAGTGCTTCCTTTGTATCGGTTTATGAGACGAAACAAGTAGTCTGGTGGGCTCAGTTCGTCCTCCACAGGGGACCATCCATCCTCATTTCCTTGCGGAGTAATCATGAAGATGTCTGTCATAGAGTTGTCATTCTTTGATAACTGGATTAAGCAGGGATTTCTGAATTGATCTCACAGCGTCCCTATCGTTTCGGCTAGATGAGTGAGAAACTACTCATGATTTGTACGGCAAAAAGTGTCCAAAAGGGATGAGCTAAAGGGACGGCCGTCCAGACACCAAAGCAACCCTCTGATGAACTCTGCCTCACGCTGAATGAGCCCGCCGAATGTCAGTAAAAAGATGCCAGATACAGGTAGCGCACAAACTTGCAGCCACTTTTCGCACACAGACTGTACCCACTACGGAGACGGGGTTGGTTAAGGAAAGAGTCGTCTACAAAAGCCCATGGGCCAGTTTTGATGCAGTTTGGAGCGGCTAATGAGGGGAATCTGCCTCCACACAGGCATAAACACCGGCTAGCGGTGAACGGACGAGGCCGTTTATTTTGGTTGCTTTTGCACACACTGGACACACAGTTACGTGGGACAAAAATCGCACTGCCTGTATGCGCTCAAAAAGGAATGACTGCAAATTCCCGGACGCAATACTTCCATGTGAAATAAATACAAGTTTAGTTGCCGCATGGGATGGACGCAGCCAATCCCGACCGGGTAATGGAGTGCACTGGACGCCTATTGGCGCGAACGTCAATCGACCGCAGAGTGTGTTGGTAGACGCAATTAAGAAAACTGCCGCTTCCGTACGATGCGCATACGTCTGACGACGAACAGGGG